ACTTAACTCGAGCTGTAGGATAGCTACAGAGCTCGTACGCACACCTAATCGATCTAGAATCGCTAGGCGCGTAAGTTTCAAGTATCTAGATGTCTGAACTCGGTCTGCAAACAGAGCTAGGTCCGCGGAGCTAGTCGTGCTTTATTTTTTGGAGATGATGATGAGTTTCTTGACCTAACTCGAGCTGCAGATCAGCTTCTAAGCTGTTCGGCACAGCAATCGGAAGGACATCAGCAGGCGCTCTATTCTAAAGTATCTAGACGCCTGAACTCGCTCTGCTATCAGAGCTGGGTCCGAAACATTATTCGTACTCTGCTAATTTTTTAAAGATGATGGTTTTCTTGACTTACCTCGAGCTGCAGATGAGCTACAGAGCTGTTCGGCACAGAAACCGGAAGGAAATCATCAGGCGCGCTAGCTGAAAGTATCTAGACGCCTGAACTCGGTCTTTCTATCAGAGCTGGGTCCGGAAAAAACTATTCGTACTCTGCTTTTCTTAGAGATGGTGATGGTTCTCTGGATTAAACTGGAGCTGCAGACGAGCTACATAACTGTTCGGCACAGCAATCGGAAGGAAATCATCAGGCGCGTTACTCTGAAGTATCTAGACGCCTGAGCTCGCTCTGCTATCAAAGCTAGGTTCGAAACGTTTTTTTTTTTTTTTTTTTTTTTTTTTTTTGATGACATGGTGATGGTTTTCTTGATTAACTCGAGCAGGAGATGAGCTACATCGCTGTTTGTCATGTACGTCGAAAGGAAATCATAAGACGCGCTCGTCTAAAGTATTTAGACGCCTGAATTCGGTCTGCTACCAGAGCCGGGTCAGAGAAACTATTCGTATTCTGCTAAATTTTAGACAGATTATGGTAACTTTCTTGAGGTAACTCGAGCTGCAGAGGAGCTACAGAGCTGTTTGGCACAGAATCGGAAGGAATTTATCAGACGCGCTAGTTTCAAGTATCCAGATGCCCGAACTCGTCGCGCTTTCAGAGTTGGAACCAGAAAACTATTCGTACTCTCTATTAATTTTCCGAGATATGCTTTCTCCTCGCTCCTCTTCTCCTCCACGTTCGCCTCCATGAGACCGCGCCCTCGCGCGCGCAATGCGAGATTGCCGCGCCCGCATTGCGCGAGGAAGCTCTACGAGTTCCCGGCGGTAAGCAAAGGTGACGGTTTACCGCGCAGTAATTCCGGCGCGCTGGAGGGCTAGTTGGCAGAAAAATCTCGACGGAAGTTTTGTCTTATTTTGACATATTTTGAACTTCTCAAAATTCAACAGGTCGTAAGAGCTCTAGTACTTTTCCACCCATCTTCGATCTTATTCCCGCTCGCCATCTTAATCTCCGGTCGACTGGGTACTTATTACTGCCAAAAGCATCCCGGCGGGATCGGCTTCTAAGTGTCAACTGGGCAGGTGCTGTCGGTTCTCTCGACTTAACTCGAGCTTCAGGAGAGCTACAGAGCTGGTAGGCACATCTAATCGATCAAGAATCGCCGGGCGCGTAAATCTCAAGCAGCTCGATGTCTGAACTCGGTCTGCTACTAGAGCTAGGTCCGCGAAGCTCTTCGTACTCAATTTTTTTTGGGAGATGATGACGAGCTTCTTGACTTAACTCGAGCTGCGGATCAGCTACAGAGCTGTTCGGCACAGCAATCGTAAGGAAATCGTGAGGCGCGCTAGTTTAAAGTATCTAGACGCCTGAACTTGGTCTGCTACCAGAGCTGGGTCCGAAACACTATTCGTACTCTGCTATTTTTAACAGATGATTGTTTTCTTGACTTAACTCGAGCTGCAGATGAGCTACAGAGCTGTTCGGCACAGAAACCGGAAGGAAATCATCAGGCGCGCTAGCTGAAAGTATCTAGACGCCTGAACTCGGTCTTCTATCAGAGCTGGGTCCGAACAACTATTCGTACTCTGCTAATTTCTTAGAGACGGTGATGGTTTTCTTGACTAAGCTGGAGCTGCAGACAAGCTACAGAACTGTTGGCACAGCAATCAGAAGGAAATCATCAGGCGCGCTAGTCTGGAGTATATAGACGCCTGAACTCGGTCTGCTATCAGAACCGGGTTCGAACAACTATTCGTACTCTGCTAATTTTTGACAGATGGTGATGGTTTTCTTGACTTAGTTCGAGCTGGAGATGAGCTACATAGCTGTTAGTCACATAAGTCGGAAGGACATCATCAGGCGCGCTAGGTCAAAGTATCTAGACGCCTGAATTCGGTCTGCTACCAGAGCTGGGTCAGAAACAACTTTTCGTACTCTGCGAAATTTCAGAAAGATGATGGTAACTTTATTGAGGTAACTCGAGCTGCAGAGGAGAGCTACAGAGCTGTTTGGCACAGAACCGAAAGGAATTCATCAGACGCGCTGGTTTCAAGCATCCAGATGCCCGAACTTGTCACGCTTTCAGAGTTGGAACCAGAAAACTATTCCTAGTCCATAGATTTTTTTCAGAGTTGCTTTCTCCTCACTCCTTCTTCTCCTCCGTCCTCCTCCATGACACCGCGCCCTCGCGCGCGCAATGCGAGATTGGTGCGCCCGCATTGCACGAGGAAGCTCTACGAGTTCCCGGCGGTAACCAAGGTTAACGGTTTACCGCCGGCCCCCGAATTGAATTTTTCAAGATTCAACAACTCGGTCGTGCTAAAAGATTGGCGGTATTGTTCGAGGATGGAACACGATGGGGGATCAGTACTGATTGGTTATGATTGGAACTGCGGGGGGACAGCCAATGTGTGACTAGATGGTTGACTGGCAGATACAAGTGTTTGAACGAAGTGTATGCACGCACCATCTCCAGTATGCAGAACCAGTTATATTTGTTATGTACCCAGTATAAAATAGTCAGCCCACAAGCAGGACGTGATATCTGGAAATGGGATTATCGGGAGGGTAACGAGGAGGCGGACCATGAGACGCACCTGGCCAGAGAACGACAAACAACAACATATCTTCGGTGGGATCACAACATTGTACAAGCTATACGTATGGGTCATCCTTGTGTACATGCGGTGAGGGGCTCTTTCGATGGCGGCATATGTGAACTAGGCACATCATGTGCCTGGGTGGTTGACATCTTCATCTCCTCTAACTTCTTCCCTTCCTCTTCTCCTCCTGGGTAACCATCCTGCAGGTGGCAGCCTGGTATTGCTAGGCGTGCCTTTATGCTCCCCTCCCACTGCACAGTCACTCACGCGGAACTGGCTGCGTCACAGGGCTTATTGGCGGGTGTTTCTGATCTGTGCTTATTTCTGGGTAGATAGTGCATCCATGAATCATCTGACAGCCTCGTATTTTTCTCTCGAGATGATCATTATTTTCTTGACTTAACCCGAGCTGCAGATGAGCTACAGAGCTGTTCAGCACAGCGAACGGAATACAATCATCAGGCGCGCTAGTTCCAAGTTTCTAGACGCCTGAAATTGGTCTGCTACCAGAGCTGGGTCCGACAAACTATCCGTACTCTGCGAATCTTTAAAGATGGTGATGGTTTTCTTGACTGAGCTGGAGCTGCATATGAGCTACAGAGCTCTTCGGCGCAGCAATCGGAAGAACATCATCAGGCGCGCCAGTTGAAAGTATATATACGCCTGAACTCGGTCTGCTACCAGAGCTCGGTCCGACAAAAACTATTCGTACTCTGCTAATGCTTTTTGAGCTGGTGATGGTTTTCTTGGCTAAACGGGAGCTGGAGATGCGCTACAGAGCTGTTTGTTACAGAAGTCGAACAGGGAACAATACGAAACGCTAGTCTAGAGTATCTAGACGCCTGAACTCGGTCTGCTTCCAGAGCTGGGTCGCAAAAACTATTCGTACTCCTGTAAATTTTACAAAGATCGTGGTAAATTTCTTGAGGTAGCTCGAGCTGCAGATGAGCTACAGGAATTTATCAGACGCGCTAGTTCCAAGTATCCAGATGCCCGAAATCGTCGCGCTTTCAGAGTTCGAACCAGAAAACTATTCGTACTCTATTAATTTTCCAGAGAGGACGATGCTTTTCCCCTCCTCTCCTCCGCCTGCTCCTTCTCCTCCTCTCCTCCTTCTCTTCCTCGCCCTGCTCCATCTTCTTTCTCCTCTCTCTTTCTTCTCCTCCGCGTCCTTCTGCATGAGACCGCGCCTTCGCGCGCGCGGAATGCGAGATTGCCGCGCCCGCGTTGCGCGAGAAGCTCTACGAGTTCCCTGCGGTAACCAAGGTTGACGGTTTACCGCCGGCTCCCAGTTCCGGCCATCAGGCCTTCGGACGTGGTGCATGGACAGAAGTACAATATTATGGTGCATGGGCATATCCTGTTGTCGCTTGTCTTGACTGGCTGTGTTTTCGCAGTGCCTTCGGATGCGCCCTGCCAGAGCCTGACGCTAGCCAGATCGCCACAACGCCGCTCATGGAACCATATGCTCGGGATTCGGGGCTTTCGGCGCGCAAGCAGGAGCTGGTGGACAACGGCTCTGCCTTGGCACTTTTCGCGATGCGTCTGTCATGGGCGGCTGTCTCAGTTGGTGCTGATTTCAGTATCGAGAATCCAGAGCGCTCGTCGCTCTAGGTGTTGCCGTGGACTGGCGCTCTATATGTACGGCGGCGCAGCCCCCGTACTTTCACTCCAAAGGTTACGGCGCCGCTTGGCTCAAGCCGACGTGCATTCCGCATAACACGCCCACGTTGCATCGCCTGTCCAGGAAGGCGCAGCGGAGCGCACGTGATATCGTCTTGCGCGGACAGGTCAGCTGTTGCGATGCAGTGCCCTCCTGAGCTTGCGTTCGGGTACGCCAGGTGCATGGCTGATGCGCAGCCCTTGCGTTCCGCTGCTCTGGAGTCAGTGCCGGTTGCTGACGCAGGGCGGGGCGAAGGCGTTCCCCTATCCCGTGGCTGGCGCTCCGCTGCAGCCATCGTGGCGGCAGTGCAATGTGATGCGGTGAGCGCTCCGACGCCGTCTGGCGGGGAGCTCGCCGTTGAGACGGGCTGTTTCGTCGTGGATGGCGGCGGCGCGGCGGCAGGATGCACGCAGCTGGGGCATTTCGCTTTGTCTGCGGGCAGGCGGCGCCCTTTCCAGTACCTGGCGATCTCAGAGATGCCGTGTTGTTCCAGATAGAGCACACAGTTGAGCAGATCAACCCGCGCTGGCGCGAACAGGTCAAATACTGGTGCGACCGGGCAGAAGCCTTGGAAGAGTCTAGATCACCGGTGGTCGCCGGGGCGCCGGTCGCCCAGCAGCCGCTGGTCGCGAGGCTGCGCGACCCCCTGCTGTGTGAGCTGGCAGCGGCCTGCGGGTGCGAAGACCTGAAGTTGTTGGAGAGATGGCAGACTGGCTTTCAATTCGTCGGTTAGTTGGGCCCGTGTCACGTGGGCGTCGCAGGCGACAGGCCGGCGGTGTCTGATCTGACACTAGAGGCAGTCTGGAGAGACAGAGCGCATTATAACAATTTCGTGCGGTCCCGTGTGAAGAAGACCGACTTCGACGGCGACCTCTTCGCAGCAACGCAGGCAGACGCTGTCCAGGGCGTCATGACCGACCCGCGGCCAGTCGAGGACAGCTGCCCCGGGGATCTTTCTTGGGCTAGCCCGCTACCCATCAGGGAGCATCGCTCCAAGGGCTGGCGCACGAGGCCCGTGATACGAGACCGAAAACGCCGTCAACTCGGCCACGCAGCCCGCCGACCGTATCCAACACGAGAAGCTGGACACATTGGTCTGGATGGTGCTTTTGTTCCTGAGGGCTGGCTGTGATGTGCGGCTGTGGAAGCGAGATGTCAAATCCGCATTTCGCAAATGCCCCATCCGTGCGGAAGACTTAGACTTGGCTTGGGTTGTCTTTTACTTCAATGGACTTTTGCACGAATCCCAGCACATATCGATGCCGTTTGGCACGGGTGGCGCTGTCTACGCTTGGCACCGCGTTGGTGGTTTCGTGTCAGCCATCGCCCGCCGCATCTTCAAGGTGCCGCTCGGCAGGTACGTGGATGACTTCTTCGGGTGCACGGTCGCGGGTGTTCTGTGCACAGGTGGTCGCATCTTGTCTCTCGTGCTGTCGCTCGTGGGTCTGCCCGATGACCCGGCGAAGGCGGCCCGCATGGTGTCAGCCGTGGTCGTCTTGGGCGTGGACGTTGCGGTCTCCCGCGCTGAGGCCGCAATCAGTCTCAAGGTTCAGGACGCGAAGGCTTCCGCTTGGGCGAAGTCTCTGCGGGAAGTCCTGCAAACAGGCCTCTGTGATCCAGTCCTGGCGTTGAAGCTCGCCGGCCGTCTGTCGTTCGCTGTCGCGGCTGCAGCCGACCGGGTTGGCAGAGCTTTCATTCGCCCTGTCTATGCGCATGCTTGTGCTTCGACCGGTAATTGCAAGGCCGGCGAGTGGGGTCTGGAAGCTGCGGGCTGGTTGTTGCGCTACCTCGAAGTGCGGCCGCCGGCCCGTGTCCAGTCAAGCTCGGCGAGGAGCCGCGTGATCACGTGTACTGACGCCGCTGGCTCGTTTCGCTGGCTCGCAGCGGTCGCAATGATTCACGGTGAAGTTTTTTGGATCAGGATTGGTACGCCGCAGCGGTTTTGGGATCTTCTGCTGGAGACGAGTCATTGCTATCATTGTCCCGTGGCGCCTTTCTCTTCATGCGTCCGTCTTCTGTCCCTGCCAGAGAATTTTTTGGGCTCAATATGAAGCGGGCTCTGTGTGAAGGCGCAGGCGCCGCCTTGCCGCCCGACCGCGCTGTCCATCGAGCGTGGAGGTTGCGCGAGGCGGTCGTTGAAGCTGTTGTATGGCATCAGGCCACGAAGTTGGACGAGCTGGTGAAACCGCTGTGTGCTCTGTCGCCGTCTCGGGCGCTGCCCCTCGAGACGGGCATCGGGTTCCTCGCGTGTGGCGCTTCCATATGGGCACAGGCAAATTCATCAGAGACAGCCATCGCGAAGGCCAGACTCGGCCAGCAGTGGCGCCTAGCAGCCCAGCTTCCCCAGCTCGATTGTTGTGCCCGTCGCTCAAGGCAGTGGCGCCCTTCCGTTTTTTTTTTTTTTTTTTTTTTTTTTTTTTTTTTTTTTTTTTTCTCCAGGACCTTGGCGCTCTTCAGCAGCAGATTGGCGATGTAACTGGCGATGCTGTTCCAGCGCGCACACTGCGCAGCTTTGCCTTCCAGTTGCTTGTGCGGGACTTGCGTGCCCTCGGTGCCGTCGACGGCCTTCATGCCGAGGAGGTGCAGGCCTGGTTCGCCACTTCTGCGCTGCGGGCACTGGCAGTGCGCGTTGTGCAAGTCGCCACTCTGGCCGGCCGCGCGGCGCGTGCTAGCAGAGCAGCAGTGCTGTCCGCCAATGCCGGCCCTTCTGGTTCTACATCGTGTGCGCCGGCGGCCTCTTCAGCGGAAGCGCTGGCAGCTGGCCTGGACAGGCGCGACCCGCAGCAGGCAGGGGCTGAGTTCATTGGCGTGGCTGCGGGGCAGGGCGCGCCGGGTCTGGGATCGTCCCTGCGGCAGGTCGCGGCCATCCAGGCGGTGGCGAGAGCACAGGCGTCCGGCAAGAACCCATTGCACGCTTTGCGCACGAGGGCGGCATGCCTCAAACTTGAGAGTCGCCAGCATTCTCTGCGAACGACGGCGAGCGGGCTCAGAGCATGGCACCAGTTCGCAGCTGCGGTCTTGCATTATCCCGAGTCCAGCATATTGCAGCCGAAATCGCCCACAGACATGGAGGCTTTCATTTTTATAATATTTAATTTTGGCATTGCTTCGAATTGCGTATCTTCTGTCAAATGGGCCTGCCTGCAGTTAAGACTTGATACTTCGAGGTTCGATGGCGCAATTGTGCAATTGCTCAGAGGTGGCAAGAAGCGGGACCTGCGAGCAATTGGTGTCACGATCAAGATCCAGACGCTCCTCAACGCGAAGTTGGTCACGCAGCTCGTGGCCCTGGCTGGCCGCTCGCGCCAATTTGTCTTCGCCACCCTCCTCCTCTTCAGTTGGGAGTTTCTGGCCATGGTGTCCAGCGAAGCTGTGCCGGCCGAGTGGGGCGACGCGAGGGAAGCCATGGTCTGGCCATCCGGGAGGCACAGTGCCGTTAATATCGATTGTCATGGTGCTTTGTTTGTGCTGTAGAGCAGACGCAAGCGTCGACCTTGTGGCTCGCTCTTGCGTCGGCCGTGCCAGTGCGCGCAGGTTGGTTTTCAGTTCTGCGCTGCGCATCGGTTGGGCACGTGGTTGGAGCAGTTTCAAGTTGGACAGAGGCTGTGGTCATTCTCAACTTCCAGCGCCCTTGGGGTGTTGCGAAGGCTGCTGTGTCTCCTCGGCGTCCACGACGCAAAGCTGTATGCGTGGAAGTGTGTCTGGGCAGGCCGCGCCACGGACATGGCAGCCCGGGGGTGCACCCTAGGCAGTATCTTGTCCGCTGGCGAGTGGCGTTCTGTGGCAGTACTCCGCTACATCAGCGAGTAGGAGGTGGACGCGGTGGAGGCTCTGAGGCAGGCCGTGGACGCCAGCGACACCGAGACGGAGTCGTGAGGCGCGACTCGTGGTCTCGGGCTCCGCAGAGCATGCAAAACAAGCTGGACGCATCATTGGGACATTGGGTGCTTGGGGCCCATCAGCGGTAGCTCGGGCCTGGGCCCCGCCCGGTTCGGAGGTTCTTCCGGAGGGCGGGTTGCCCTGGGCGGCTGGCTGGTCTCCCGGATGCCTTGGCAGGGTTTCACTCTGTAGGCTTCGGGAGGGCGACCCTTGGGCCAGTCCCAACGTTGGGCCCGAGTCGTCTCCAGCGCAAGTAGCTTGCTACTTGTTCCCACGAACCCAAAACAGTTATGTGTCACTTTAACGTGTTTCAGCGGGCATAACTCAGGCGGGGGTCGTTGGGCTGGGGTCCGGGCCCCGTTGCGTCCTTGTGCTTGTGTCCATGGGTCTTGCATCGGGGGTGGGTCGGCGACAGTCGAAATATTCAGTGACGTGCACGACGGAGAGGAAGAAAATGCGCCGCCCTAGGCGCTCGCACTGCCAGGGTGTATTCTATTCCACGTTGGCCCGTGCCGTCTCTGGTCTGGTCGGCTGCGGCCCCGCCGAGAGCTTCTGGGGGCGTGCGTTCTCCCTGGTGTGACCCTTGGGGTTGCTGTGGCTGCTGCCCCGCCGAAAGCCTTCCGGGGGCGCGCTGGCTCCCCGGTCCTCAACCTTGATTTCTCAGAGCACCGCCCGACCGTGGCGACGAGGCTGGGATCCAGCCGCCGAGGCGGGACGCCCACCCCGAAGTCGGAGGCGTCGGAGGCCAGAACCTGCGGGCTCCAAGAAGCAAAGGGGTTTACCGCCAACAGAGGAAAGACCCCGCGGATCCAGGTAAGCTCCGTGATGACGCCGGGCCACATACGCATGATCTGTGTCCCCGCAGCCTTCTGGAACGCATGCACCTCTGAGAAGAAGGCCACACTTTTCCGTCGGATCAGGCCAGCCCACGTGAGATGACCGAGGAAGATCTCCATGAGCTTCCCAGTGAGAGAGCGACGCCGGAGGACCACATCCAGAGCATGCCGAAGATGCCAAATAGACCGTCGCCGAATAGCGTTCCGGCCCTGCTCGGCCGTGGACGGGGACCGGCTGAACGCAAAGGAGTTGTCCACGTAGCCGGCGACCACGCACGAACGCTCTTCGAAGAAAATTCCCCCGGGCTTCCCGTTCAAGACCATGCTAGAATGGGGGAAGCCGGAGAGGACGAGACTGTTGACCAAGACCGTTTGTACTTAGTGCATAGCCCGAGACCAGCCCATAGGTAGTACAGTTAGGACTGGTGTCGCAGACTCTGAGGCCCGGATCGGCGCGCCCTCGCACGTGCGGAGGCCAAGGTGCCCTGCAGCAGTGTCTGCCAACGGGGAGAAATCCTGGAGGTCGTCAGGCAACCCCATCCAATAGAAACAGTTGTATTGCCGCGCGCCAGCTCGGTCCCCATGTAGAGGTGCGTGTCCACGCGCGAGGGGTCCGACGATCCAGCCAGGCGATCCTGATACTTTTCCTCGAAGATCTGCAACGCTCTGCCGAGGAGTTCAAATCTTGCCATCTCCGTCACATTGATTTGATCAAAACAAACCGCTCTCTCCAAGGCCGTGCAGATTCTCAAATGCTCGTCAACGTCGCCCTCACTGGGCAGGCGGCAGTCGGTCTTCCAGCGATGATGGCCGGCGACGGGGCTCCCCCCGTTCGCCGACATGAACTGGCATGCCCACTTCAGGGCGCGGGCCCCCCTCGCGGGCCAGTCTACCCACGGCGTCTCTGTCAGCAGCGCCTGGGCCTCCGTGAAAGGGCGGTTCCTCCTGTTGAGCGAGTCCATCAGCAGCGGATGCACCCGCAAGTCCGTGAGCGCCTGCGCCTGAGCCTGCCCCCGGGGGGCCACGCCACCGGCGCCGGGCGCGGCTGGGGCGGCCCCTGCCGGGGCGATGGCCGGCGGCGCGGCCGTCAGCGCGCCCGGCGCCGGCGCCGCAGCGGCCGCCGGCCCAGCGGCGGGCATCCCCACGAGCGCGCCTCCAGCGCCAGCAGCCGGCGCCGCGGCGCCTGCGCCCGGGTCCAGCACTGCGGCGAGGGCGGCCAGGCCGCTTCCGACACCCGCGGCCGGCGGGGCCCCGGCCGCTGGCGCAGCGTCACCAGCAGCGGGGACGGGCGGCAGCAAGCCCAAGGCCCCGCGACCGGTGGGCGGGGCGTCCGCGCGGCCGCCCACGTTGGGCGCGGCCCTGGGGCGGCGTGACCAGCCCTGATCGCAGCCGCGCCCCTCGCCGTCCCCAGCGTCGCCGCCAGAGGCACCCCGCGTAAGCGGTACACGCGGGCGGCACCGCCGCCCACCGCGGCCGGCGGCGGCCCGCCCTGGGCGCCCCCCGGGAGGAAACACCACTCCACAACGTCGCCGCCAGGGGCGCGATCCTCGTCGTAGTGGTCGTCGTCCGGCGCGTAGCCGGCGCTTACCCCGCCGGCGTGGTCCCGCGGTAGGTGCACACAGCAGCGCTCGTGGTACAGCGGCGGCCCTGGGGCCCCGTATCGCACGAGATAGAAGCCCCCCTCTCGGAGCCCCGCCAGGATCATGCCGTTCAAAGGCGCCGCCATCACAGCTCACGCCGGCTGCGCACGGCCCTCAGCTGCGCCAGCGCCTCCGCCTGCAGGTCACCAGACCCGATGGCCTTCGCGGCCAGCGCAGGCTTGGCCTCCTGCCGAGGGCCCGAGGTGCTTGCCCGAGCCGCGCACCACCGTCGCCAGGCTGACTGCGCCCAGCCCAGCAGCAGGCCGAGGATGACCAGCAGGGGCCCCGCCACCGGGCCGAGTGCACGGTCGGGCACGGCGGGCAGGACACCTGACAGGTGCACGGAGGGCAATCGCAGGAGCAGCCTGGGCACTCCTGCCCCGCCACGCGTACAGCGACGCCTATGCCGAGCCCGCGGAGGATCTCTTGGCCTGCCTGGACGAGGTATGGTTCCATAAAGGCGTGGGTATCGCTTGAGCCGAACGGTTTCGGTTCGGCGTCATTCCCCTTCCCCTCTTGCTCATGCATTGGAATATGGGTATATATATATATATATATATGCACATGTATATAAGTGCGTATATATACACATACATACATACATATATGCATATATATATGCATACAACTTCTTTTGGTTTTGAAATTGTCCATGTGTAGGCATGTTTGCATATATGCATATGTTTGTATTTATGAATAGGTATATGTAGAGGTAACTGTATGCGTACATGTAGATATTCATGCCTACGTTTATGGCTACACATGAATTCATATGTATATGTCTATGCAAATGCACCTGTCCATGTATATGTATACGTATTGTAAATGTTTGCTTATACAAACATATATACGTATATGTGTAGATATATGCATCTATCTCACGTGTATAGTTTTTAGTAATCATGCTTTGCAGCGATGATTGGGTAGTTCAATTTTATGTTTGGGTATATGTACATACATGTATGTATGTATGTATGTATGTATGTATGTATGTATGTATGTATGTATGTATGTATGTATGTAAGTGTGTATATATATGTGTATGTATGTATGTATGTGTATCTATGTATGTATGTATGTATGTATGTATGTATGTGTGTATATATAGTATCACATTTCGTTTTGGAATAATGTTTTGTATTTGGTTACATTATCTAACTGTAAGTCCACGTTGACGCTTCGGGCCGTGCACGTCGGTCCCTGATTTTCGACATGCAGGCAGGATGGCAACAAACGAAAACGAGACATTTAGTGATACCCCGTTGTTGCCTTGTTTGGCATCGTCGTTGCAATCATGTCATTGGTTATCCTTCCCTTAGCTCTTCTTGCGGACGCGTATCTTAGGAGAGCCTCTTGCAATTTCCACGAAGGTTTGTAACTGTAAGGGCTTGTCGGGGCCTTCTGGAAGCCTCCTGCTTTCCTTCTGGGGGCCTGTGGGGGCTTCCCTGGGCCACCCTGCTTCCAACCGCGAACTCCCTGAACGACCGGGTCGCGCCTTGGAATTTGTCGAGAGGCGTCTTGGGGCCATCCTGGGCTGTCGTGGGGTTCTCTCCGGGCCATCTTGGGGTCCTGTTGGGCCGTCTTGGGGCTTTTCTTGGACTGCCTGGAAGCCCTCTTGGTTAATTTTGGGGTGATTTTCTGGCCTCCTGGGCGGTTTCGGACGCCCAGAAAACCGACACAATTGAGCATTCCCCAAATCACCCCCAAACCAAAGGAAATCAATGTTTTTTTGCGTTTCGAATGCCTCATGGAGGCCTTCTTTGGGTCGACTTCGGGCGTCTGGTGGGTGTCTGGGGTGTCTCTCGCGGCGCCGTCCAGCCGCCCCCCTGACCGATTTGGGCTCGTTTCCTAGGCGCAGCAGGGTCTTCACGAGCCTCGGAAAGCACAGGGGACCGTCTGCAAGGGCGTCCAGGGTGCCCCCCCCCCAGGGCCAAGGATCCAGAGGGGTCCCTGTGTGTGTGTGTGTGTGCGTGTGCGCATGTGCGCATGTGCGCATGTGCGTGTGCGTGTGCGTGTGCGTGTGCGTGTGCGTGTGCGTGTGCGTGTGCGTGTGTGCGTGTGTGTGTGTGTGTGTGTGTGTGTGTGTGTGTGTGTGTGTGTATGTGTGTGTGTGTGTGTGTGCGTGTGCGCTCGCAGGGTTCCATATTACAAGAACGTAGAAAAGGGGATTTCTGTTTGGATATGTCCGTTGGCCTTGAGCCTATCATGCTACCGTGCCCGGGTCGTGGATAAGAGGTTCTTCGGATGCTTCTTTTGACGTTTCTTTGGGGGTCCTGTTGGGCTTCCCTTGGCAGCCTGCCTGGGGCCTCTTTGGGGTTTCTTTGGTCCTCCTGGGGGCCTGTGGTCTTCTTGTGGGTCTCTGGGTGTCTCTTGGAGGCCTCCTGGGGACCGGGGGGGCTCCGAGTGGCATTTCGAGTTTTCCTTCTTGGGCCGCTTTTTGGGTCTCTCTTGTTGACCCTTTGTGCCCCTGATGGGCGCCACGGGTGCTCCCTTGGGACGATCTTGGGGTTTGGCCGTCGCG